TTTATTTATTTGTGTGTGTGTGTGTGTGTGTGTGTGTGTGTGTGTGGCCAGCTCAGCCCACCAGGGGGCGGGGCTGGCTGGCATGTGGTGCTGCGGGATTGAACGGCGGTCCCTGTGCTTTGCTGAGCTTGTTCCAAGTAGGTGCTGTAGACCACTGAGCCATCTCACCAGCCCCTGCCCTGTGTTTTTAATCTTTTCTTTTTCTTCCTGTATTTTTAGGGAAGGGTCTACAGGGTATTCAGGGTCTCACTACTAGATCAGACTTGTAGTGATTCTCTTGTTTACAGCGTCCCAAGTGCTGAGATTACAAGCACGCACCACCATGCCCAGTCTCAATCGCCATTTCAGTGCGCCCTGGGGGTGAGGCTGGCATGGCAGACCTGGGGATTGAACCCCCTGCCCCTGCTTGCAGGAACATTAATCCACTGAGCTATTTGGCCAGCCCCTTTGTTCTTTTAATCTTAGTGGTCTTAATTTAGTCTTAGTGGGTGGGAGAGGATGGCCCATCCCTAAAGAGTTCATGGGGAAATCGCAAAAGGGTGACATGGACAATCCCAAACCTCCATTTATCCCTTAGGGAAGTATGCAAAGTTAATTATTGTGAATTTGTGGTCCCCAACACATCCCCTTTGTTTTTATAACTTTAGCAGATGAAACAGCACACAGGCTATGATGTTGATTATAGCAACAAATATTCTCAGGAGTTTGTGGGAAGTCCTGTTGTGTCACCAGGTCCCACCGTGTCACCAGGATGCCTCCTGCATTGTCTTCTTTAGTTGTCCCCATGCCATGGGTCTTATAGCCTGTGTGGATCTCAGTACTTGTCTCATAAGGCATTTCTCTGGGTCATCCTAGAGAATGTTCACACTGGAGGGCTGGATGGGGACAGGTGCCACCTGGGGTGCTCCTCTCTCTATAATCACATGTTCCCAGAGGGCAGCCATAAGGGTGTTCCATTGTCATCTGGTATTTGGATAACTTCAAATTTGTCCCTTGGAGTCCTCTAGCCATCTCTCCTCTCTTCTTTCCACTCAGGTAGGTTTTCCCTCTCAGGCCTAATGAGAATGTCTCTATTTGGGGGCCAAGTATTGGGGGCCTGGCCAAGATTCCCAACCACCTGATTGAGGGGTACGACAAAAGGACGAAATAAGGAACAGACAAATATAGTAATGCAAGATAGGGATCTTGGAGGTCAATGCTTCAGGATGGGAAGAGACCATAAACTGAAATTCTAAATGTGTAGCTGTGATAAGATATTTTTCCTGGTACTGATCAGATGAGCAGTAAAAACAACATTTTGCCTTAAAAGATGCTCCACCTGTACTGAATGAAAGCTTATCTTTACTCACTGTGTTTTTCGATGGTTCCCAGGCAGCATCTACCTTCCCCACATCTTGCATGTCTTGCAGCTGACGCAGCTGAGACAACGTGTGATGCCTCAGAGCTTCATGCAGAGGAGTATCACCATCTTTATCCTGAATATCCAGCTTGGCACCAGCACGGACCAAAAGCTAAGGGACAAAGAGGTCTCATTTTGGTAAACTGGCCACATCCATGAGAAACTATACCGTATTCCAAGGGGCAGTGAGTGCGCCTTGGCCCTACATGCAGGACTGGTTACTCTAGTTCATGATGCTGATGTCTCTGCTTTGCACTATGCTACAGCCCTGTGGGTTTTTACAAAGAGGAATATGTTCCAGTAACTCAAATATAATGAATTAGAGCAAAAAGAAAGTGAGAATCAGTACACTGATTAATTTATATACTCTGAGATGACAATGAGAGAAACTCAGGATTTTTTTCCTCGTTTCACTTTTAGATACTGAGCTGAAATATTTTAAATCTCCCAAGAGGACTAAATCATAATGTTCAAAATTTTTCTCTTAGTTAAACAAGACAAGCAAATAACTGATTCCATTCTCTGGTCAATTTTCTCCAAATGTGTGGTTCATAAGAAATGTCTAAATATCATGAAAAATAAATGAATTTTTAAAAAAATTTTTTTGTATTTTAGGGAAGGGTCTACAGGGTGTTTAGGGTCTAACTACTAGATCGGACTCATAGTCATCTGCCTGCTGACGGCCTCTCAAGAGCTGGGACTACAGGAGCGCGCCACCATGCCAAGTCTCACTTGCCATCTCAGCATGCCCCAGGGGCAAGGCCGGTACAGCAGACCCAGGGATCAAACCCCCAAAATAAATCAATTTTAGCAAAAGGATTTCAACTAACATGAATGTGGAAATGTTTGCTGGAATACACCCTCCTAGATAAAACACATAGTTGACATATTTCAACAGACAACTTACACAGTAAATGTAAAGTTTATTGAACATTTTGCTTATGGTCATTTATCAATTGTCCTAATCCTTTCTACAAATACATACCATCAAAGAGCTTTCAAAAAATAATACCTATAGAAATCAATCTCAGGCTGGGAAGATAGCCCAGCAGTTTAAACTCCTGCCTGGCAAGTGCAGGGACCTGAGTTCAATCTCTGGAACCACAAGCCACTCCGGCCCCAAAAGGGCATGCCGAGCCGGGGCCACCAAAACCGAGCATGGTGGCACACACCTATAATCCCAACACTGGGGATAGAGAAGATGAGACAGGAGGATCACTACTAGTCTAAACTGCATAGGGAGATCCTGTATCAAATAAATACAGAAATTTAAGGAAAAAAATTTTTTAAGATGTAACTAGTAAGGGCTGGCCAGATAGCTCAGCAAATTAAAGTGCCTACTCAGGCAGATGCAGGGGTTGGGGGTTTGATCCCTGGACTGCTGTGCCAGGCCCTGCCCCCGGTACGCCCTGAGATGCCAACAAGAGTGGGTGTGGTGGTGCATGCCTGCAGTCCAGGTGCTTGGGAGGCTGAAAAACAAGAAGGATCACTCACTATGAATCCAATCTGTGTAGTGAGACCCTATAGACTCTATACTAAAATGCATTCAAAAAAAATTTATATGATATATACACACACACATACACACATATATGAAATACTTCAAAAAAAATCAATCTTAACTATATGGTCTTGTCTTGGTAAATTATGTTTTTTGTTTTTGTTGTTCTAACAGGTTATACAAATGTCAGTCTAGGATGCTACTTCTCAAAGATGAGAATGCAGATTTCCCAGGTATCTTGAGAAACCAGATGTTGGCCTTGCGCTGGCTGGTCTGCAGGAGGGCAGGAAATTAACTTTTCTACTAAGTTCACAAGGATACCAACACTGCTGCTTTAGCCACCAAGCCTTAGGAATCACTGTCTACAATTTTTTTTTTTACAAAAATATTTAAACCAATATTCATTCAACTATTTTGTCTGAAATCCCCAAACTAAGAAAGTTTTTGTCTTTTTTGAATTTGCAGTAGCAAGTGTTGAGGTAAAGCTTTGTCTCCACTTTACTTCTCAATAATACATACTAAGAACAAAGATTTTTCAAATTTGTATGTTCCTTTTTCAAAATTTCCCATTTGACATTCCAGTAACTCAAAAATCTGACAATAAAATAATAAAATTAGAACTCAAACAAGATTTTGCTATTAGACATTAAAACTCCCTCAATTGATATAAAACATTAGCCTAAAGTCCTAGGTTTTACAGCAAATTATGTATGTATTGATTGGCTAACTGACTGACTCACTGGTATGTTGAGACAGGGTCTCACTATGTAGCCCAAAGGGACCTTGAACTCACAGCAATCCTCCTGCCTCAGCCTCTCAAGTGCTGGGATTATAGGTGTGTACCTATAATAAAAGCTTCTTCTTTTCTTTTCTTTTTTTTTTTTTTTTTTTTTTTTTTGCGGAACCGGGGATTGAACTCAGGCCCTTGCGCTTGCCAGGGAAGTGCTTATTCCTCTGAGCCATCTCCCTGGCCCCTTCTTTTCTTTTTTAAAGAAATCTGACACTACCAATTTTCAAGAGGTTGCAAAATTCAGTTTGGTTTAAAAAAAAAAAAAAAAAACTTGCAAGCTAAATTATATGTTAATCAATACTGAGGCCTCACCAGATAGCTCAGCGGACTAAAGTGGCTGCTTAGGTAGAGCGCAGCAGCCAGGGTTCAATCCCTGGTGTGCCATGCCAGCCCCGTCCCCAGGGCACACTGAGATATGGATTGAGACTGGGCACGGTGGCACACGCCTGTAATCCCAGTGCTTGTGAGGCTGAAAACAGGAGAATCACTACGAGTCTGACCTACGTAGTAAGGCCCTATAGACCTGGTACTAAATACATTTAAAAAAAAAAAATCAATACCGTACCCTAACGATCTGGGTATGCTGTCGCTCAACGGCAAGATGTAGAGCAGTCTGTTGGTTCACATTCTGGATATCCAGGTTTGCATTACCCTAAACAAGAACAAATTTTACAAATGGTTAAATTTTAACAACAGTAAAGAACATGAAAACAGTATTCCTGGGAATAAATAACAAAAGGCACTTCTGACCACTTTCTCTTCCTCCAAGATACAGCAACATTATCCGCACCTGGTAGCAGGCATTGCTAAGGGATGGAGCAGCAAACTTTATCTAAAGTCAAACTAATTTAAAACTTTTTATTTTATTATGGTGACTCTGTCTAAGAAAAGTTCAAGGATAAGAAACAACACAGAGCTCAAATACAACTCTCTCTCAATCCCCCACTATACAGCAATGGTGATCACTTCTTTGAACTGAAAATACTTCTAAAAAGTTACAGGATTTTCATATTGACCTTAGGTTTACTTTAATGACCTGGTAAGTTGACTCCCTCTGTTGCATAATTCAGTTCCTAATTCAAAGAAAAGAAACTGCTTGACCTGAAGAAAAGGTGATGTTCAATTAGTACATAAAGGCAGTTATGAAAGGGAGACCAGGAATTTCTCCCCAGGCTCCAGGAAGAGCCAGGACAACATGAGAAGAGCTGGCTCCCAGGCAAGGGGCAGGGAGGGCCTGAGGAGCAGCACAACTGAATCCAGTGCCAAGGAACCTTAGTTCATGCTCTACCACTTATAAGCAAGGCAACTCTGGCAAGCTGTACACCACTTCCCACCCATTTCCTCAGTTCCCAAATGGTGGCAGTGGGATCTATTTCACAAGGCTTATCTGAGAACTAGGACAATAATGTCAAAGTGACTAGCACAATATCTAGCATAATAAAAGAACATGTAACTAACAGCTAAAGATTCAGAAGATACACTCTTGTATAAAGAGTAGACCATTTATCACCTGGGCTGGGTAGCACACATCTCTAATTTTAGCTACTCTGGAAACTGAGACAGGAGGATCCCAAGTTCAAGGCCAGCCTGGGCAACTGAGCAAGACCACATCTTAAAATATAAAAGTAGGGACTGGGAAAATAGCTCAGATGTCAAGTGCTTTCCTAGCACATACAAGGCACTTAAATAACTGACTATGTGTAATCCTACCTACATTTTCTATTCTTCTAACCTGTGACTGTCTATCTTGAAAATATTAAGGACTCCATAATGAATCTACGAGAATAATGAGTTTAAGCAAAGTCACATATGTGGGTAAAACATAAAAACAATCATATTTATATATACTAGTAATGTACAACTGGAAACTGAGATGCAAAAATAACATAACTTACAAAAGCATCCAGAAAAAGCAACCTATAGATAAATTTAACATGTAGAAGAGCTAACTCCCAGCAGACTTTGTTTTATTTTAGGAAAGAGTCTACAAGGTGTTCAGGGTCTCACTACTAGATTGGACTCATGGTGATCCCCCAGTTTACAGCCTCCCAAAAGCTGGGATTACAGGTGCACACCACCACACCCCGTCTCAATTACAGTATCAGCTCTGCAGGCAGGGCCAGCACAGCCAGCAGACTTTTCAACAGAAAATAATAAACTCATTCTAAAAGATCTAGACTTACTAAAGTATTCTGAAAAAGAAGAAAAACAGGTAGAGGTTTACTCTTATAAGATTTCAAACTCTGTATAAAGCAACAATAACCAAGGCAATGTAGTAACCATGTAAGTCCAGACATGTGGAGTTGAATAAAAATGTATTTACATTATTAACAAAGACAGCAATAATTTTGATAGGAAAGCATTAAAATGGCAAGGGAAAAGGTAGTTTAGCTTACTAACCATTTCTTTAAATTTCTATACTTTTGGAATGTGTATCTTAAAACCTGGTACTTAGCTACATATAACATACTACTTACTAAATTGCTGCTGTTCTATCTTAACCTAGATTGTTAGTTCCCTGAAGTAAGGAGCCACAGTGATTCTTTGGCCACTTTAGTGTATCTTTATGACTTGAGCTCTCTTTAGGTATTTAAAAGTTTCACCACACATCGCAACAGTTATGAATATCTCCCCTATCCTGATTCCAGTTTGTAGTTAAAAGGCCATTGGCTATGCTAAAGTATTTAATGGGGGTGGGGATGGCTCCTCATCCTGTGGTCAGTTGACTGCTGGACTACAGTAATTCCAGCAGAGCAGCTGTAGGAAATGCTGTTGGCTTCTATCATTTGCCCAACCCAAGAAGCCTGGGAAGAAGAAATGCTAAGAAATAACACATCTGCCCTCATTTACACCCAACCTGCCCAGCCCTGGACTGAAAGAAGCCATGTGAGATAGTTTAGGAGTTAAATTTAATTGTCAACTTGATTGCTTGGGAGCCCTTCAACGGGTCAGTAAAGTATATTAGGTGAGTCATGGAGGTGTGACTTGGGCCCCTGAACCCGTCCTCTTTGAGCTGTCTCTCTGCTCTGCTTCCTGGCTGCCATGCCACATCTGTCCTGGGGTCAGTTAGCCCTGGACTAAATTCCTCTCTAGCCATGAGACACAATTAAGCCTCTCTTCCTCCAACTGTGGTGTTGGATATTGTGTCCCAGCAAGAGGAAAGCTGATCAATATAGGAGGAAGACGGAACTAGCATTACATCTAAATTGTCATTATTGTGAGGTTTTATTGTTAACATACTAATAGGCATTTATTTGATGGAGATTTTTTTTTTTTTTTGGTGGTGGTACCAGGGATCAAACTCAGGACCTTGTCCTTGCCAAGCAAGCACTTATTCCACTGAGCTATCTCACCAGCCCCAATAGAGAATTAATGAATATAAATATTCCAAAATTATTGAACTGCTTTTCCATACCTGGTGTACTAACAGTTCAGCCACTTCCACATGGTTATTAAGGGCAGCCAGATGTAAAGCAGTATAACCATCATCTTTCTTCTCATCCACAATCCATGGCCTTGGTAATTTTGAGAGTAAAACACGCATTGCACTGAAAGTCAAATCCATATTTAGATTGTTTATACATATATTTTTTTATTATTTCCTTTAGAAAATTACATTCAAAAAACTTTTAAAATCAGGTGAAGATAGTCTTAAGTAATATAATTACTTAAAATCAAAAAGAAATTCAGTTATTCTAATTCTTTTTTCTTTTTTTTTTTATTGAGACAGGGTCTCACTATGCAGTTCAGGCTGGCCTTAAGCTCACTTTGTAGTCCAGGCTGCTCTTGAACCAGCAATGATCCTCCTGCATCAGCCTCCCAAGTGCTGGGAAGATGACTGCTGCACCATCACGCCCAGATCCAATTCTTAAGTGTGTAGTTTTTGATATTTTGAGAGGTAAATAATCATTACTTGGAGAAAAGATTTAAAAGAGAATGAAAATGCTACAAAGAAGAAACAGCAGAAAAAGAAGAAAGGAATATACTCAAATGAGAACACAATTTTGGCTTTGTGGAATCTTTAAGGTAAATCATTAATTTCAACAATATCTACTCAAAAGTTAAAGAACAATCAGGTAACAAACTAAGAGCAGGAAAAAGTGTGATAAAATTTTACATAGCTGGGAGATTATCCTGGATGACTGAGTTAAAATCTAATGTCAGTTACTTACTAGTTTAGAACAAACTATATAAAATGGCAATTAGACTTAAAATTTAAGAATTAGTAAAGCATTTCCAAAGCAAAACAAAGCAAAAAAATCTACAAAGCTATACAGTATGCATCAAAGATTTAGAAGTATAAGAAAACAGGAGAACTAAGTGTTAAGATATCCTAGAAAGTGCTGGAGATTCAGCTCAGCTGCATGTCTCCTGCCGAGCAAATGCAAGGTCCTGAGTTCCATTACCAGTCCCCCCAAAAGAAAGACAGCCCTGAAAAACTAACGTAGAACAAAATTAGAGGCAACTCTCCTTAATAAAAAGATTTTATAGTAGTGTGGTGGTGCATGCCTGTAATCCCAGCACTCTGGGAGGCTGAGGCAGAAGGTTGGAAGTTTAAGCCCAGCCTGGGCTGGGATACACAGCAAGTTCAAGAACGTGTGTGTGTGTGTGTGTGTGTGTGTGTGTGTGATGTGGAAAACTCATGCGGGTGAAACTCCTTTATATATACATATATATAATACAAAAATCAATATATATATTATATATAGATAGATAGATTTTTTTTTTCAAGACTGAAACCTAGGACAATTACTCATGTAAAGAATAGTAAACCGCTGAATATAGTGGAACACTGATCTCTACACCTGTACTTTTATATGAATTTTGACATGAAACCCTTAAAAGAGCAATAAAAACAGAAAACTTGAATATTGTGCCAACAGAGTACAAAATGGCAAGAAATAATCAGATACATTAAGATAATTTTCCCTAACTTGGTATGTATGAGAGATAAAATCTAAAGTGGAGAGTGTTAGACAGCTAAGTCTAGAGAAGCAGGATATAGATACAGAATGTGTATAAACCAAATGGCAAGCTTCTGGTATACTATGATCACCAAAGTGTCTCTGTAACAGCAGGGTCTATGAATCACATTTTGAAAGTTGGAGGAGTCTGAACTAGGCTTTGGAGGCTCCAAGAATCTCTAAAACTGACTCAAAACTGGGCCGAATACAGCTTTTACTGGATTTTTAATAAGGTTTCTGGCCCAGAGTATAGTGAGCATCATAACTTAAAGGCCCTTGTGCTGGCTATTGCTGAGTTATAACCACTGTTTCAGAGCAACAGGCTCTTGAAAACCCATGGACTCTACTCCTGAGAAATATGTATCAAAATCTTCACCTACAATTTCGATTGAGTATGCAAACCTCCAAATCCCAACCATGGGCCTTGTGTAAGACTAATATTTCTTGACTTCAACTGTTTTCAGTCACTGTTTAGCATTCTATTTATCACTCTATGGAATAAAACAAAGCACTAGACATTATGTCCATTTTGACTCAAGTTCTCAATGAGGAAAACCACTGGTGCCAGCCGTACCACTGAATGTCTGTGTAAGTCCATACATTTTCCACCCTATTCATCTGACCAATTGAGAAAGAGAATGCACTAGGGTTTATGGTTCTGCTAGAAAGTTCAGAAGTATTAAATCAAAGCAAAAGTTTTATTAAAAGCAAAACATAATCATTAAAAAACAGTATAAGTATTGTTTATTGATTTAAAAAGAAACTATAGGCCAGCAAGATAGCTCAACGGTCTTAAGCGCCTGCTTAGGCAAGAGCACAGGGGCCACAGTTCATTCCCTGGCACCACAAGCTGTGCCAGGATGGGCTGAGCCAACCACAATATATAAATAAACAAACAAACAAATAGAAACTATAATGCGGGGGCCAGGGAGATAGCTCAGTGGAATAAGCATTTCCCTGGCAAGCACAAGGGCCTGAGTTCAATCCCCGGTTCCGCTCCCCCCCAAAAAAAAGAAACTATAATGCAAGTATCTTGAGAGAGAGGGTGGTGATGGAGGGTGCTGAGAGTTGGTTGTACATGTCCATGTTCTACACCATGGAGTCACCACGTGATGTCTTTTAGGCACAACTAGAAGACTGCAGTTGGCGCGTGAGCTCCTGTTGTTGGGGACAAAAGGATGAGGACACAACACACAAGATGGTCAGTCACCTTTCACATTAAGCTTTGTTGTACTGTTTCACTCAACACAACTTAAATTTTTTTAAAATCAAAACACTAAGATAATATTTGGGCTTATGATATTAAAATACTTTACTTGTTTAAGCAGACATAGACACATGCCACAGTAAGCTTTAAATGTTTAAGCATGGGCTATGCCCACTTCACTAGGGCTTGGCTCTGTTTTAATTGAGTAACTGAAAAGGTACTCCTGAGGTGGCATCTGGAATCATGTTGCCTCTCACCTCTGAGTTTCAGAAGTCAGACTCCAGGACAAGGAAGGAAGGGGAAGAGAGTAGTTTCTCTCTGGACATCTGATGAAAGGGAGGGAAGCTTTTCTCCTTTTCCTGGTCTGGCATATACAAGGAAATGAGCAGAGGGAGCTGAAGCCCTGAGAAGGAAGGGAATGTGTCCCACTGGCTCTGCAGACACTCAGCCAGGGGCTGACATGCACTCTTCCAAGCCCACTGCCTCTGCTCGTGGCTTCTTTTTTCTCCATTAGTATAGTTCATATATAATTAACTATCAGACCAGGAAAAGAGAGTAACTCCAGGCAATGCTTGAATGTGACAAAAATTATCTCAGTCCTTCTCAGCTCACATTATACAAAGTAAGTAAAATCCTAATATTAAAATGCAAAGTAAAAAAAAAAATGCAAAGTGCAGGGGCTGGGGAGATAGCTTGGCAGTCTAAATGCCTGTCTGGCAAGTGCAAGGACCCAAGTACACTCCCTGGTATTGTATGCTGTGCCAGCCCTGGAACCCAGGGCATGCCATGCCAATCACCAAAACCAGGCGTGGTGGCACACACACCTGTAATCCCAGCACCGGGGAGGCTGAGACAGGAGGATCACTATGAGTCTGAGCTGCATATCAAGACACTATGCAAAATGAATAAATAAATAAATAATTTTTTTTTCTGAAAAATACGTAATACAGATTTTCACAGGGCAAGTTTTCATTTTAGAATCAACCTGTTAGTCACACTTAAATGTTGTAAATTATATTAAAACAGAACCATAACTAAAATCAGTTAATTTTCTATATCCATGATTTTCACACCTCAGAATTCAATTAACCATAGACCAAAAGAGCCTCAGAAAAACTGCACCTATACTGAATATGTCCATTCTTGCCATCATTCCCTAGAATTTACATAATACTGGCACAGTCTCAGGTACTGTGAGATGATTTTGTTTGTTTTTGCAGACAGGGTCTCACTATGTAATTCTGGCTGACCTTGAACTTACTATGTAGCCCAGGCTGTCAAAGTTGTGGATTCTCCTGCCTGAGCCTCGTGAATGCTAGGATTACAGGCATGTGCCACCATTCTCAGCTCCAGGGATAATTTAAAGTAAACAGGGATGTGCACAGCTTGAAAGCAAACATTGTACCACTTTATAGAGGGACCCAACCAGGCACAGATTTGGTCATCAAGGGGGGCCTGGAGCCACATCCTCAAAATATGAGTGATGGTTGCACTGCATTCCCCTAACATTTTGAGAGAATGAGAAACTTGAGAATAAAAATAAACATCAAAAGAAATGTGGTCTTATTTAGAACAAATGCCTCATTTCAAATTAGCTAAGTAAATTATAAAGCTAGTAAAATGTTTTGTTTTGTTTTTGCTCCGAATGCCTTCAGGGCAGGTTTGGCTGGCTTACATGTTGGGGATCGAACCACAGCCACCTGAGCCTGACAGCTTTGTGGAAGCAGCCACTTAAAGAACTGAGCTAGGGCCAGGCCCCCAAAGCTAGTAAAATGTTTTAAACAGAAATGATAATTTCTGGTCCTACAGAAAAAGTGTTGTTGGGGCTGGAGAGATAGCTCAGTGGCTTAAGTGCCTGCCTGGTAAGCACGAGGTCCTGAGTTCAATTCCCAGTACACCCCTCCCCCCCAAAAAAAAAGTGTTCTGCTTGGAAATGAGATTAATAAATTACTCAACAGTTAAATACATAAAACATGCAGATAACCACTAGAAAAAAAGATCTGTAGAGGAGATCCAAAAGTCTAACTGGGCTAAGAATGGAACAGCAGGGAAAAAAAAAAAAAAAAAAGGCTGAGTGCGTGGAGCATTGCTCAGGAAGTTTCCTACTTGCTCCCGAGTAGCTGCCACCTCCACAACCAGCACATGGCCATGGGAGACCCGCACAGGATAAAGCTGTAGGTCATTTAAATCACCCACCCAGCTGTCCTGCTCCCAGTCAGTCTCCAGTCTTCATTTAGCTTCTCATAGATATGTTTGCTCCCTCAGCACAGGAAAGAAAAAAAAAAAAAAAAACCCATAAATCATCTATTAATCAGATATCGTGGGCTGGCCAAATACCTCAGTGGATTAAAGTGCCTGCAAGCAGGCGCAGGGGCCA